CACATTTTTGTCACTTGATATCTAAGAATTTTTTTTAAATTTGTTAATTAGCAATGTCGAGGCTGATGTGTAGAGAGCTTAAGGAAGGACCTGGAAAACTGAAGTCCTCTGCTTGAGATGCATTTTTTTGGAGAATTTTAAGTTAGTGTAACTTCAGTAGAATTTTTTGTTTGTTTTTTATAGTGTATTAAATGGTTTAATTATATTAAATAGCTGTATAGATACCATCAGAAACACTTTTTGAATGAACATTTAAAAACATAAAGGGATGAATTTTGCTTTGTGCTGTATAAGATATCGAAATTTGATGATGGCGTCTTTTTGGTATCAAAAGTTACAGGTCGGAAAGGGGTGTGTGGCTGACAGAAGCCGACAGTTTTTACAGTAATCCCTCCCATGTATTTTTTCACTGCGGCGAAACCGTTCTGAGCCGCTTCTAATAGCTCCGAACAGTGATCTGAAAGTTTGGCATTTTTTAATCATCAAAAATTTGTTTTGAAAAAGTTTTATTTTACTATAAGATATTAACAGTTTATTATTTTGAAGATGTCTAATAAGCAGCCTTCAGCCTTAATTTTGGTCTTTTCTGCTTTCTACACAGAGGTTTTAATTGAGATCAATAATTGAGATCAATGAGGCATACTTAGCTTTCAAACAGCGGTCCTACCATTATTTTACGTATCATAGAATTCAAAAATCGCCTGATTTAGTGGGCAAAAAATGCATGTAATGCAAAAATTTTATTTTAATGTTTTATGGGTCATCTGAAAAGTGACTCATAAGCTTTCTGAGTCGCATTCTTGAAAGAAACTTCGAAGCCTCTTCGAACGAAATCCTGTGGTCCACTTTTCAGAGTTCCAGTTCCACAAGCAAACATGAGCGCACTTCTGTGGTCTTTCTATAAAAACATGTGTTAAAACTCTTTAACCTAACAGTTTAGAAGAACTTTAAGAAGGACAACAGCGCTGCACTTAACTAGCAAAGCAGTAGGTTTTCAGTCTTTTTTGTGAAGCCAAGCTAGTCACCAGGTGCATAAATTTGACAGAAAGAAAATGAGAAACAGAAAAGACCAAAATAAAAGGTGTTTCTTACAACCTTGCAAAATAATTTACTTTAGAATAGAATATAGTCTTTTGAACAAATCTTCAGTGGTCGGGACTTGCCAAATTTTTGTGGCCGCTCTTCGTGGCTTTCAGCTGAAAACGGTTCCGTCACTGTAAAATGCGCGAGATTAATGTAAGAACATTAGGTTTTTTCGGTCTCTTAACCCTTTCCGACTAGTAACTCTCAACTTCGGAAAAATGCCATTTTTCAACTTTCTGTATATTGAAGAGCAGAAGATTTTACACAAAAATTTTAAGCGAAGAAATTCTAAGATATCATTGGCAAAAACTTATAAATTGGCATGAAATGGCTCTTACATATATTTGTATATACATCTTTATTTATTTATTTATTTGTTTTGTACATATATATATTTATTTATTTTATATATATTAATGGGGAGGCAAAGAGGGAGAGGTAGGGAGAGATAGATATATTGGTGATGTACAGTGGTGAACACAAGGTTTGCTTAGGCAATTAGGTGGAACTGAGGCCAGTAAATTAAACGTCGCTGGTGTCGTATGAGATATTTATTGTCTAAATTTTTTTTTATTCATATTTTATTTTGAAAAAATTAGAAGAAAATTTGTAGAAATGAAAGACAGTTTAGTAGTGCTTTTTTTTGTGACAATTTTATGATTTTGAAAGAAATTCTTGTTATATTGAGCTGCCTATTGTAGCAACAATTTTCTGTTTTGCTTTCCTTAAAAGATACCAAATGCATGTTTGTTTTATGTATTCGTGCATAAGTTCAGGTTAATTTGGCTTCTGATTATATCGATACGTGTCGCTGATTATTCAAAAGCTGTTTTCTTTGGCTGTTGGCTTTTTGTCCTTTTACTGCACAAACTACAGATGTATTTTGCTGCTGTCATATAAATTATCAGTGTGTAAGACAATTTTCAGACCACCGTCTTTCATTTGATACTGACATTGAAACTTTCATAAAAATTAATATGATATTTGAGTTTATATAACAGTTACGCGTATTTGTTTATTTTTTGGTTATTTCAAAAGATAATTATTGGAAATCACTACTTATTTTATGCATCGAAATGTTGATGTTTTGATGCAGCGCTCTAAACTTGGTCAGAAGAGGGTGCAAAAAAAAAAAGTAGTTCACTTAAACTCCGTTAAATTCAACTGACAAAAATTTTTAACCATGAAACTAATGGTCTTTACCGAGCGCTTGGTGATGAGGGCAATACTCTGAGGTCAGTCGAGTGGAAGTTAGATGAAAAAAAAGAAAGTTTGAAAATCACTTACATCTGCCTGATCATCGGTGTCATTCAAAGCGATGGAAGAAGGAGGAGAAGAAACGGAGAGACGATGAAGCCTAAAGAGTTCTTCAGGTGGCAAGCTGTGATAAATTTGGTTTTGAGGAGGGTCGGCAAATTGGTTGCTTCAATTAACTGCTTCTGTTTGCCCGATGCCTTGGAACAGTTGTAGAGGGCCATTGGCGCTGAATGGTTAATCGGCACGAAGGCGAAGCTGAAAGCAGCAGCTGGAGGATGGGCAACCAAAAATAAATAGATAAATAGATGAATAAAAATTAAAGAAACGGAAATAGGGGTAAAACCGCAGCAGAGTTGCAGAAGGAAGTCATGTTTTTTGACTTATCATTGATTTTGAACTGTCACTTTAAAGGCCGGAATTTTGTATTGCAAATTTATCTGCTGCTGTTCTTTATTCCTTTTTATAGTAATAAATTTGAAAATTAGATTTATTCTGTTTGTTTTTACCTTCGACACAATTTTTTTCCTAGTTCTCCGCCATTCATCTATCCTCAGCTGTTAAACATTCAAACTTAGTTCAAAGTTAAACAGAGATGGCAAATACGTATGCTTTCGTCCACTTTTTGTTAGCAACATTCATTTCTCTTTCTAGAAGAAGACATTGAAAGATTCAAAGATGCTAAAGAAATGCACTTTGACCTTTCCTTTTTCATATTTTTGTTCAAGCATTTGTAGATGATTGAATTTACCAAAGAACTGTTTGCTAATTTTGAACCACTAAAATAACGGGAGGTAAAAAAGTGGAGAAAGTTTTGGAAAGTTAGTTAAAAAAGTTTTTTCCTGTATGTTTGTTTGTTCTTTCTGTTCACTCGTGTTCGACGCCACCTCTAGAGCTAGAGAACTGCACTGCCGTTAGTTGTTTCACTTGCAGGATACGCTAAAGAAGAAACTGAATATTAAGCAGCAGTCAATGACTCCTTCAATACTGCCGTCTAAAAAAAGTACGGCAAAAAAGCACGTAATCGCAATGGATGTTGGAACAACTACAATGCGAGCGTGTTTGTTTGACGGAAAGTGTCAGTTGGTCGCTGTTGCCGAAGAGCCGGTTTGTTTCAGATGTTTTAATTTGCCATTAGGAAGTACCTTCTTTTTTGTGGTATCTTTCTGCCAAAATTTAGGCGTTGTCTAAGATTTTTCAGTAGCTGTTTGGTACAGAGAAAACCACTCTTCACTTTTCCGCTTTTCATCAAATCGTTAATTGTAGGTATTTTAATTCAGAACTTTTTAAAATATTTTCTCGCTTTCTTTTTTTTTGTACAGTTGTTATCCATTCTTAATATCAAAAGTGCATTCTGATGCGACTGTAATGACATCTCATCAGTGGCGGTTATTTTTAGATCAAACTTGAGTTCAGTGGCTCTGATGCAGAAGGTGTTAGGGCGGAAATTGATCCCGACCTTTTGTGGGACCAGTTTTGTTCTGTCCTACGAGGAGTTAGTAAGTTACTGTTTTAAAACAGTTTAGTATAGATCACTTCTTGCGGAGTGGTTGATGTTTGACCAATAAAAAATGAAACATTTGTGTGGGACTAATAATGTATTACTAAAATCCCTCATTCGTTTTTAACTTTTCTTGATTATCTTGTTTCACGTCTTGAAAAAACACCTTTAAGGGAGCTCATTTAAAGTATGAACAGATAAACAGTAATCACTTCCCCGAGGAAATATTACGAATTTCATTTTTCTTGGTAAATTGATATTTTTTTAGGAAAGATTTTCTTTTTTTTCTCTTTCTTGAATGGCTTTACTGATTTTCTTCAGGAATTTAGGGAAGTCGAATAATTCTGCTAGGTCATTTTCGATTTCAATTTTCTTTCAGAAGTTCTTGCGTTTTTGGCAAAATTTTGCTTTTTCGGCTGCTTCTGATTGTTGCCCTGCAGCGGTTTTGTTGCCATTGGTTTCTGAAACTTTACTGGCTTGAATTTTGATTTTTTTATCTCTGCTCAGTAATTTAACTTTAAATTTTCAGTTGACGTTGTTAAAGACATCAGCTCCATCTGCTCCCTCGGTATCAGCTGTCAAAGGAACACTTTTATTTGTTGGAACAAGTAAGTTTTTTTTTGAAATGAGCTCGCGTAGTTTCTGTGCTTCTGATGTACCGTCTGCGTTAGGAGGATTTCAGATTGTTTTAATTTACTTTTATTTTTTTAGGCAAAGTGGTTTACCTTGTCATAAGTTTGTTACTTGGAAAGACTGCAGAGCTCGCGATGAATGCAAACGTTGGAATAACTCACTTACTTTAAAGGTGGTCAGACGAAAATGCTTTCTTGATTATTATTACTTCTTATTTGAGTAAGTCTGGTAGTCATTTTTGATAGTTATCTGCAAGTTGTCCGAGCTAAATTACTTTTACCTTGAATAATCAAAATTTTTTTTCATCAACTGGAAAAATTATTCATTTTAGGCTTTAAATACCTTTGGCGGCTTGTTGTATTTTCTTACGCGGCAGTCCCGTTTCAAAAGTGCTCGAATGTTCGCTTTCCTGAGCGCCATGGTTACGCACCGTCTTATGGTCACAATTTCGCAGGTTCCATTCTTGGTTGATCTTCAGTACACTTTTTGACGACTTCAAGATCAAATAAATTGTCTGTTAGCCTTCATTAAGCGTTCGCGAGAGAAACAGTTTCTGGTTTCTATGCATTGCTAACATTTAGATTAAGGAATTTCTTTAACCGATAGGTTTCAGGCTTCAAGTCTCAGGCTTTCATGATTTTGAATTTACTTTTTTAGGTTTCTGATTCTTTCGTACTTTCTATTCACAAATTTACGTTTTTGGGGCTTAATAATTGCTTACCACTTGGCTTTTAAACAGTAGATACAGCGTAAAGGCTTATAGGCTTCATCTAATCAGTGTAGTGCATTGTGTGAGCAGATGGGCAGTTTTGCTAACTCTTAGCTTTGTAAAGGTTTCAGAGTCCAGAACTCCAGCTGCTGATGAAACAAGGGAATCTTATGTTTGGCTGCTTAGATACCTGGCTAATCCACAAACTGACTGGTGGTCGTGTTCACATAACTGAGCCATCGAATGCTAGCGTGACTGGTTTATTCGATCCTTATCTGGCGAGCACTGTTTTTTTACATTTCTTTAAAGGCAACTTTAGTTTGCAAAATACGGCTTTTATTTTGAGATAGCACTTTATTAAATCTTTTGCAAATACTCACCTTTGTGTAAAGACGAAGAATGATCAGAATGAGTGGGAGTAATTTAGATGGACTGGGGTCGCACGCTTTTATCAATAATATCGTTTCCAACTTCTCTACTTCCTAAACATACTTTTACTGCTGGTCGCCCTCTAGCTTCAGTTGATAGTCACTTATTTGGAATTAATGTTGAAATTGGAGCTGTGGTAAGTTGGCTCTTTTTCCATTGATTGCAGTGAACTAATCTTTTAATCTTGCCTTCTCCTTGAAGGGTTTCTTACAAAATAAGCATTTCTGGCCGTGATAATGTAGTTATTCAGAAAATATTTTCTCAGAAGCTTAGGAGGTTTTTTGGCGCGTGTCACTCAGCCACTTGCTGCGCTTAGTGTTCCTGTTATTTTATTCTAAAGTAAATTTTTTCTAAATTAGGCTTGAAGTCAGTATTAAGAATTACGTAAAGGAAGCTAAATCATATTTAGAGCTTTAGATGCAGTCTTTTATTTTTTAGGCTGGTGATCAACAAGCTGCATTATTTGCTACAGGAGGATGGAATAAAGGCGATGTAAACATATCCTTAGGGACGGGATCATTTATGGACGTAAACACTGGAACTTGTCCACATGCTTCCATGAGAGGTATAGCTCGCCGGATCACAGTTTTATTTATCATTAATTTTCAGTTAAAATTTTCGAATTTACTGGTAAACTGATGTAGTGGCCTATGAGTATTTAGTGATCTTCAGATTGGATCTTGAAATCTATTACAGTTTATTTTGTCTTTAGGGTTGTATCCTTTGGTTGCCTGGAGATTTCCTACTATATATTGCTATACAGCGGAAGGATGTGCTCATGACACTGCTCTCATTTTAAAGTGGGCAGAATCCATCGGACTTTTTGTGGACGTAACGGACACCTCAAGTATGGCTAAGCGAGCAAAACCATCTGGTTAGCTCATCTGGTTTCTCTCTTTGAGGACACCTCTTTATATATTTTTAATTCTCCCGTCCTTGAACAGTTTAAATTCCTTTAAAGTTATGAAAGCTAACTGCAGACCTTCTTTGCAGTTAAAATAGTTTAGCATTTGTGGAATAAACGGCGCGTTAACAGCATTTCAAAATAATCCGTTTGTTCCACATAAAAAATTCAAAAACATTGTATTGGTCTATTCGCGTAGTTCTTAGTTCCGTTGTGTTTGATTTTTTGAAAGAGATGGCCGAATTTTATTTGGGGTTTTTCGAGGATGGGAAGGAGAAGCTTGTTAAAATCAGCCGAGGGCCACCAGTTTTGGTGCTTCTTCCTGCAAACTGGGAATGAAATTAGATGACATACAAAAATTATAAATTTTTTGGTCTAGATCTCTGCTTTGTTCCTGCTTTTGGAGGAATCCAAACACCTATAAATGATTACTCTGCGTGCTGCGCCTTTTTGGGTATAAGACCGGATACGACTAAGGAGCAAATGGTACGGTCAATCCTTGAATCAATTGCATTCCGAGTGTATCAAATTTGGGACACTGTGCGGAAAGAAGTCGGATTTAAGCTTTCCCATATTGTTAGGTCTGACTTCATAAACTTGAAAATAAATATAGTTTTCTGTGCTAAATTCAACTGATTTACTTTGATAGCATTTCAGATGTCGTCTTTTAATTCATATTTCTTTCTAAAACTCGGGCTATGCTGTAAAAAAATTTTTTATAGGTGTTGTGGAGGTGTTTCCGCAAATGATTTTGTTTGTGAGACGGTAAGCACGTTAATAAATCGTCCGCTTCAGAGGATAAGAGAACAGAATTTCGCTTCTGCAAGGGGCATAGCAATGATGGCTGGTCTTACAGCAGGTTATATATCCTTTGAATATTATTCATCGTTTATAGTTTTTCAGGTCCTTTATCTTTTAACCGAGATATCATTCAGGACTATGGAATCTCGAAAATTTACCAGAAATGGTTTGTGTCGAAAAAACTTTTGACCCTATCGCCTCCCAACGCGACATCCTTTTGGAAAGGTTTCGGAAGTGGGAAGCGCATCTTAAAAGATGTTTGCATTTTTATGACTGACTTTCCTTGCAACAGCCAATTATCGGTTCTGTCGAAAACCATTCTAAGATTTGAGAATGGTTTGCATTGCTTACAAAGAATCTCAAGGAGCTTGTCAAAAATGTGAACTGGTTGCAATTATTCAGAAAAAGGCTCATTAGAAACTTTAGTGGAGATTATGCAGCAAATACTTTTGAAGAATGCTTGACCTGCTTATATGCTACCTACTTTTTGAATGTTGTTGTAGTCAAGTTCAAGAGGACTTTCTTTAAACCATTTTTTTTGTTTGTTAGTCGAGTTTAAAATAACATTAGAATCAGTAGGGAATTGCTGTGCTAAAAACTAGAGGGACATCTGCCATGTGTTCCTTTAACTGGTCTTTCAAAAAAGTTTGGAGCTCTCAAGTTTTAGCTGATTAACTCCATTTTTGAAGTATTGTCTGTCGTTTGTTTGCGTTCTTCACGCCTAAATTTATAGGTTTTAGATATTCAACTGACATCTTACATTTCCAACAAAATTTTGAGTGAATTTTGTGTAACTTTCTTTTGTAGTATTGCCGTATTGGGCGGGTTTAGCTATGAGACATTTTTGTACGTCTTCACCAAATTAGAAACCCGTATCTAGGTGCTTTCTACAATCTTTGTTACAAAATTGGTATTTTTTGACTGGTAACTCTACGGTTTGAGTGGTGTCATGGTCATCTGTAGCGAGTATTAGTTGAGAACTGGATGCTTGTGTAATTAAACAGAAACAAGCTGAGATGTGTAGTAGGCGTGCAGACTAAAATTTCCCACCAAACGCGCTTTTCTAATTGAATTGCTTGCACAATTCAATTCTTCCCGACGCACCGGGAATTCAGTGTTTGCAGTCCGTACTCTTCTCTATCTACTTCTACCAAATGAGAGCGATTGTCTATCTAGAAGCTGTTTGATTCAACATCAAATCTCTTGGTGTCTCTTTCCGCACAATTGGCTGGGTACTTGATGATTGTTAGCCTTCGCTTACTCGTTTTGCTCAAGTACATTATCTTTCCTTCCTGTGATGTAGATGCCTTGAACTGTTTGTAAAAATTGTCATTCACCTACGTTGTCTGTCACCTGTTGTTGTTGTTAAAAAAGTGAGAACTCAGGTGGAAGTTTTATTTATCACATAACTTCTGCATGCGAGGCACAGTTGTAGGACGAAGCAGTACGGCCCGGAGGCAATGTACTCCCTCCGCCAGGTAAGTAATTCCGCTGTAACAAGTTTCGCCAAACTCAGCATCTCAAGAATTGACCGACCAGCGCCTAATACTCCTAATACCCACCTAGCAGGGAAGAGCGCCTCAATATTAGCGAGATGTTAAGGCACAAAGACGTAGCACCCTTCCGGCACAGAAAAAGCACTAATATTCAGTACACGTGCAGCACTGAATGTTAGGCTAAATAGAATCTCAAAACAAAAAAACATCACCAAACTGCATCTCTTGACTTTCAGTAAGAATTTTTGTACAATAGCAACAACAAGGAAGCACTAACACCAACAAGCTCAATAAATTACTTCAAATATTTTACAACAAAAGGGCTCTAAATGTTTGTATGATACAATACAAGCGCCCAGGAGTTACCTAGCGCATACACGTCAAGGAAGACTATGACACAAAAAATTACCTACTGGAGGACGTGACCGACCCAAATGGGAAGGATTCATCAGAAGCAACAAAATTGGAAAGACGGGCTAATTTACTTGCCAATTAAGAATTAATTGGAGCAGGAAAAGAAAGCTGATCTTACGAGCTTCACAACAAATAACTAGAAATACAGCATTCTGAAAATTGCCCCCACGGTATGAACCAGAAAAATTGTAACAAATGTTCAGCCAAAGTGGAACTTAAAAGAGAAGGGACCTCCATCGCCACCAAAAGGAAATCCTCCTGCAAATGGGTTAAAGCCATGTTGTTGCTGCTCAGGATCCAATGGATCTTCGCCCCTATCAAACTGAGCTCTTTTCTCAGTATCTGTTAGTACCTGAAAACATAACCAGGAAACTGAAACACTACGTAATGAATAAAAATTGAAAACTTTGAAAACTGATAAATTCTAATGCCAGAAAGAACTGACTTCCTTTGCGGCTGCAATGTCAATAAAGCGGGCTTCAGCTTTCTTCTTCTCTTTTGGGTCTGAGAAATTATCCGGGTGCCACTGCTGAGCTAACTTCCGGTACGCTTTCAAAATGTCTCTCTTGTTTGCATTCCTGTACAGAAAAGGAAAAAGAAGAATGATAATCTGTACCTGTTGAGTCCATAATCAAAGGAATTCGAAAAAATTGCAGAAATTTTACCACCCACTAAATATATTTTAAAATTACAGTAATACTATACCTCCGTACTCCAAGTATTTTGTAATAATCTTTTCTGCCTGCCTGCTTTTTCAGGCGTTGCGCCTTGTTCAAACCTTCCTTAGCTTTCCTTGATTCCTCATGCTCGTTAACCGCCTTCTGATAGTCCTCAATCGCTGTAACATAAAAGATTAGGAATCTTTTCCTACAATCCGTGAAACTCTATAAATGCATCACACGAGAAGTTTACAATGAGCGGTTTGAACAAATACAAAAACACTTATCAAAAGAGTTTTGCGAAGTAAAA